AACTTTGTACATGTTGCTATTTTGTTACCTAGCATATCTAATATGTCACTTCAGTTCCATTTGTTTGTTTGGGCTTTTTTTGTTAATTTGCACACAGTAATAATAATACAGCCCAATGATTCAATCATTTTGAAAATATAAATTGTATGGTTGTATCTTACTTCGAGCTGGGCTTGTGCAAGTGTTTTTGGTGCAGGCCTTTTCCTTGTTTGGCCCAGCTGATGGTCTGCCTGTGCGCTGTAGTTAGAATCCTACAAGATTGAATCAAATTAGCTCTTTTAGTGGTAATTCTAATTTCTAAGTTGTGGGAAACATGAATTTGTACAAAACTTTTTCACATTATAACTACTTAAAATTATGTAATTAATGTCAACATAATTCTATAATACAACTTAGCTTACTTGGTGTTTTGCATAAGCCTGCACAAGTGCCTCGCACATGGCCTGAGAGAACCGTGCACTTCTCGATTTCTTCTCTGCAGACATCTATTCAATTTTATATATGTAAAATTGACAATAAATTATCAATAACCTCACTGAATGTATGATGCCCAAATCATTTTGAAAATTGAATTACGATATTACGATAGCCTCATGTTCATGAACGTTTCGTTTGCTAAATGACCATGGCTTATTTATTGTATTTGTCACTTTTTTTTGTTTGTTTTTGTTTTTTGTTTTTGCTAAGCAAAACGTATTTTATTTCTTGGAGGAGGGGGGAGGGAAGGACGGAACTAAGAAAAGGTCTGATAAATGTTTCAAACCAAGAAAAAATAATACAGTATTTGATTTTAACAATTAAGCAAAAAAATGATAGATATAGTAACTGATAAAAATAAAAGAAATATACGTACTTTTTAACGCCACAAAACGTTTGTTGCAACACAGCGCGGTAAGCCAATTTTTTTTCCCGCGCAAACTGAGCGCAGCATACCAACATGGCCGCCAAGAATGTGCAATTCAAAGTCAATGCATCAAAAAGAACTTACCTGAAAACTCCATATACCTACATTTCACACTGGCTCGTTCCAAAATAATGTTAACATGTCTCGAATTCGGCTATCCATGTTTAGTATAAGAATACTCTACCGACAAAAAAAATAACTGCTTTTTGGTGGCCAAGATGAAGATTGCCGAATCGAGCAAAAAGGCAACTGATCGTCACATTCAAACCACGTAATGATACAAATTACTGATTCCTCTCGGTTGCTCTACTTTAACACAACGAAAAACTGAATTGATTTGTCCTTCTAAAAACATGAAAAAAGTCCACCCCCATCGAATCCATCAGCAGCGAAATCGAATGAAATGAAACTTGTCGT